GCGTAATGTAGTGAAACACGGTAGCATGTCGACGCAAACATGATATCAACACGGTATTTTACACAGCGCAAGTGAGAATGTTCATACGGCGTTCTTCCTTAGCACGGCAGTGTATGCCTGCTTTTCGACCCCCTATATCGTCGTCCCTCTCAATTAAGGGCGTATCTCAAATTCCACGTGAGCCCTGTTGTACATATGAATCCATGCTTTCTGGCGCTCATGCGGAAATTGAGGTACGCCTTTACGCCACACAGTGGATCGAGTCAATCTGAGAGGTCGGACTTGAAATTTTCAACTAAAACTGCATGATAACTAAACTGATGTTTAATTCGTTATATTTTAAATTGTAAGGGATGTTTCTGGAAGAAAATTTTACGAATAAGTCAATCAAACCACTTTTATAACCTTAAATTTTGCATGAACGGAGTTTTAAGCTCTTAAAGTTTCCAAATTTTGTCCGACCTCTCCTATTGCCTCGGTCCAGTGTGCGCCAGAAAGGCGACGATATATCCTATCCACTACCATCTCAATAGGGTCCCAACCTCGAGGTTTGTGAAAGATTTCTTGGAAAATAGGTTTATAACCCAGAGTTACCCACGGTTTATCGACATCTGTATTTTGGGCAAGGGTACTGATCATACATCGGAGGGGGTTATCCAGTCTTACGTGAATATTTTAGTATGAGAAGAATTGATTCCAAACTTATGGACTGCAGCAAAATCAGATCAGTGACATGACATATATATTATTTAAAACTATTACGTCGGAAATAGTTCTGAACCTCAAAATTAAATGCGCACTCAGTTATTTGTTGAGTTGAAGTAACTGCTAGTGCTTAAAGGGTCCAGAAAATTTTACATTTTACCAAGTAAAATTTCAGTTGTGAACGAGAGATTCCTTTCTTCTTTGGTTTGCGGCTCTCTAACCAAATTCATTCCCACGAGGAAAATGTTAAAGCTCATCTTTCACTAGATGCGTACTTAAAAAGTAGTTTTTTTATCATTGCAATGAGTATATTCCTCAGCGAAATCAAAACTGCCAAGGACACCCTTTTCTTTATTTGATGGTATTTATTTTTTTTAGCTTGGATTTGGAATTAAAGTGAAAAATTCGAAAATTGATGTAAAAATAATATGATGTAATTCTATCAGAGAAAAGTAAATTTCATGTTTCAAAACTTGATCATTTTCATTGAATTAGGGAGTAAAAGAGGCTGCAGGAGCTATTTGTGAAAATGTGATTTTTCATTTACACCCCCCCCCCTCATAACGCATCCGTGACACAGGTTTGCGCTCCTTAAAAGATACGCTACGTACTGCTCACCCCTCAAATCAGTGTTTTGTGATTAATTTCGGATGGAACACAGCCATTTTTCATAAAATCGGTGCTAGGTGGTAATCTCAGAATTATTTAACGCAGCATTTGAACACAGCCTTCCCTCTATTATGCAGATTCAGGCCTTTCTCCCTCCTAGAGCATCACGTATTTTATACGTCAGGAGGAAAACGTAAGAAAGGAAAAGCAAGGCGTTACAGACGTATTGCTTTACGATAAGGAACACAGTAATCTCAAAAGCGAAATTTCACCGGTACCCACGAATTCCAAGAATAGGTCTCCTTACACGGGCTATGCTAATTGGTTGATTGGACGCGTTAATTTGATTCAAGCCGTAACGCGGAGTGGTACAAGTGTAAGGATTGGTAATAGTTACGTCTTCCTCTGCTCCCTTACTCATTGTCAGGTGGGACATTAGTCAGGGGAGCCGGCGAGCGGCGCGCGGAGCAGGGACTGCTTCCCTATTGTGTCTCGTTAAAATTCATGGGGCATGCCCGTATAAGTTATGCTTTTTATAATCAAATTCCCCCGGGACGCCCGAGGCCGCGACCTGCCGCGTGTCCTAGTGAAATACGCAACCCGAGTGCAATGTTTCATTCATTGTCCGTGCCCCACCGTTGCCGGACTGGGCTCCGGACCTTGGGCATTGTCTCAATGGCTCTCTCAGGGTGGAAGGCCAATGATGCACCGGAAAAAAAGTCGCTAGGATCTACACTGAAAAAAATGGTATGCTATCTTAGCACTTAGGATGTCAGAAATGTGTCTGGTGATTTTGGGATGCTGCTTTGACTGCCCACGCAGTTGACTTTGCATTCATAGGATTTAAAGGTAACTGCGAGGGCAGTAAAGGCAGCGTCTTGCGATAACCAGGCACATTTTTGACATCCTAAGTGCTAAAATAGCATATTATTTTTTTCAGTGTAGAGTCCAGACTCTTGAAAACAATGGCAAGAACGAACACTCGTGATTCAATCGGATTTTTACTTGAATCCAAAAAAAATCCACTTAAATTAAGAGGCTTGGTTCTTCCTTTAAGCAAAAATCCGATTGCATCAAGAGTATTTTTTCTTGTCTATGTTTTTGTGAGTCTGGACTCTAGATCCAAGCGACTTTTTTTCCAGTGCGGAGATGAAGAAATTTAAAGAGGTCAGATTCAAAATTTCAAGAGATGAAACAACATTTTCAGAATACCAAGATTTATATGGTCTTACAAGTCTGCAATTTCAGCCGAATCTTAGGGAGTGAAAGTTTTTGACGTGAGGTCTAAATCCTTGAAAAACCTCGAAATATGCTCCAAATTGATTATAATAGTACCCAAAAAGAGGTTACCTCATATTGCTCCACAAAATATAAAGTTATTTCTCTCTGTCATGTTGTGAACAAATGATTCGTTGATAACAAAGGAAATGATTTAATGGACTTGAGACCTACATGGTAAAATGACCGAACCTGTTAAGTGTTAAAAACAGAATTGAAGCTATATTGATTAAAACTAGATAATTGTGAAAATATTTCACAAGGTCATTACCAGAGTCGCTCATCCAACCGCATGAATACTAATGGGAAAATATGGTTATATTGCATTTTCATGACGACGTGGACTGAAGAAAGGGTCGTATTTGAAACTCATTATACAATAATTATAAGCACGCATATCAATATAAATTGGTGTTCGGCCTTTAGTACCTATTAGTTATTTTTGTCTTCAGATTTTCAGCGACCTCGTTCCTTAAAGAGAGAGAGAGAGAGAGAGAAAAAAAAATCGCGTCAAGAAAGACTCTGGCTGTCTTAAAACAGTGAGTTAAATATCGTCAACCCGACCGTTTGAATGGTTAACCAAACTTTTGAATTAAACTGAACTTTATTGAGCCAAACTGAGCTGAACAGAAGAAGGTAATTCCGCATTAAGAACTGAATATTAAATTAAATTATCCGAAAGTTAGATTTGACAAACCAATTGCACGGAGGTCACATTCGGTTCTCATGTCCAGACTTTCTTATTCTAAGAGCGAAGAGGGGCGCACCTCGATAAACAAGCCTACCGTACCCCATTGTTTTGTCAAAAGCGTCTGTCGAGAGTGAATCGCGCGTTTTCGGGGTATTCGGCAACGCGGACACCGTGATTACATCTGCGTAGCGTGTGTCTCCGCAGACGCGAAAGAAATGTGCAATTAACATGTATGTGAAGACGTGAGGTAGGGTCCGGGCTAGCTCTGTAATAAAATTAAGCTGTAAGATCTGAGCCGATGCAAAATTACCAAGCAAGAAACGCTTCGCGCTCGGTTGCCAGACCTCCGGTCGTCCAAAGTTTAAACCAGCTTGAAATTAGGATAAAAAGAAATGAAGATGTTGCATGTATGAAGAATTTGCGTTTTGACTATTGATTCTTAGGTAAAAGTTCGCGAGAAACACGATGGTGCCACTGGTTTTCTCTGAAATCAACTCCCAAGCTCAAAACAAGCTCTCAAGTTTACTTCAAAATAGAGGGGATATCCCACGCTATCCTGAGAGTCCACCTGCATCAAGACAAACTCTCCATGCGAAGATAGGGAGGCAATACATTAGCAGCGTTGCCGTGTTTTCAGTTTCAGAGTCTCCGAAGAAAGTGGCAGCCCTGTCAATGTACTTGCTCCCTATCTTTGCATGGAGCGTTTGTCTTGATGTAGAGGTGGACTCTCAGGATAGCGTGGGATATCCCCTCCATTTTGGCCTCGACTTGAGAGCTTATTTGAGCTTGGGAGTTGATTTCAGAGAACATCAGTGGCACCATCGTGTTTCTCGCGAACTTTTACTTAAAAATCAACAGTCAAATCGCAAATTCCTCACACATGCAACATCTCCATCGGTAAAAGCACAAACTTGACTCGTATCGTCTTCAAATCATTGAAAAAACGAAAACTATCAGGATTAAAATATTTGTAGGGGTGTAAAAACTGAAAACTAGCGTGCGAACATATCGAACGTTGTAAATGAAGTTGGCTGTTGCGGGCGTATCAATAGTATTACTACTCATGAGTGATAAATGATTAAACTATGAACGCTTGCATTTCGCTGTTAATGCAGCGTCGCAAACTTCCTCCTTCATTCTTTTTCCGTGGACACCTATAGCCCATAATCAACGGCATTTTTGATGGTCTTCATGAGCGATCCAAAAATATTTTCTACGAATTTGATCCGATAATACATGTGAGTGCTCTTCCTAAAAAAAAAAAAAAAAAAAAAAAAAAAAAAAAAAAAAAAAAAAACTTAGAAAAAAAAAAGACTTAGAGTAAGAGAGAGCGTTAGGACACCGTGACTAACCACTGCTGACCTATGGGCGCAAATAAGAACACGAAATGCTAATATTACACGGACATGCAAATAGTAATAGAGCGCCTTCAATTCACGGCTCGGCAATAATCTGTACTTTGCGTCAGTAGCGTCACTCACAATCTGCAATTTGAAACGGATTGATTCGTACAGTTTCTACTGTTTTTTCGTATTTTTATACCTGGCACTTGAGCCTTTTTGTAACTGATCGATTCAATTCCAGGTACGGCGCGGCGTTTCCTTTTCGGTTTCAATTTGAAGCTGTTGTATTTTTGTGAGGTGATCGGTTTAATCTGGTCATAAATTCATTGATACAGTCGATCTTCGAGCTAAAATCAAGGCTTTGTTTGTTGCAGGCGTTTTTGACGGCGATCAAAAGCAAGGAGTCCGACGTACGGGAGGTTCTGAACAGGGTCTCCGGCCACGAAGTTGCCCTCTCCAACTTGGGTAGCAAAGTCATCCACCAGTCATCAAAAACAAGGAAAGTCGTCGATACGGAAGACACTCGACACTTGAGTCAAGTTGGGGAGGACGGAAATCTCGTCACTGAGACCCAGAAAACTGTCCAACATGAAGAGGTAAATCCTTCTCCCTCTCCTCCTTTATTTGGTATTTCTTTTACTTAAAAAAGAAATCAAGATAAGTGGCGTTTTTGTCAAAAACTCGCTCAATTCTTTTCGTCTGGAAATAATTAGGAAAGTGAAAAAGGATTTGCTCGTCATGCATTAATGTAAACAGTTGACAGGAGGATACTTTGAAATAACGCCAAAGTACGCTCTTAAACAATATCACAAATCGTGTCGTCTTAATGAATGCGCGAAATCCATTTGTAACGTACTTATAAAAATATTTCAAAGTATTTTCTATCGCATTGTATATATTAATACGTAACGCATCGCCCAAATTTTGGGAATTTTCGATCAAATCACTTAAAATCCAGAAATTATTACTTGCGGCAGACCACAAATAGCAGAGGGAGTCTTATTCCACAAAAACACAGAAGTAAAAGCTCAGGACTTCGAAAAGTATTCTACAAACATTTTTGGATAAAAAATCAGAAAAAATTGAAAACGGAACTAGAGTTATGTCGGTTTATTATCTGTAGCTCAAAAAGGTATCTGTTCATTTAGCCACGGCTCGTGGCGCCACGCAACAAAAATTGTTGCGTTTAGCCACAAGTTATAGGTGCTGTGTGGCTAAATGAAACATTCAAAATGAGTGTGGCTAAATGCAACAAATTTTGTTGCGTGGCGCCACGCAACAAAAAATGTTGCATTTAGCCACAGAAGTTATGTGTGATCTGAGTTATCTGTGGCTCAATGCACCGCAGCCAACAGGGCTACGGTGCAATGAGCCACAGATCTTGGCGCCACGTTCGGATCTCGGCTAAAATTCGGGCACAGCGCCACAGAGTGTGGCGCCACACTCCTGCAAAATCCTCAAATTTCCCTTATGTTTAAAACCGCTTAAGTGCTGGTGCAACCTGCCACAAAGTTCTGCTTACAGTTGACTTTCCGCTCATCTTTGATTTTCGTAAAAAACTGTTCAACCAACTTTGATAAACTTTCGAGCGTGGCACTACGCACCAGCGCATGAAAAAATCCGGGCCCAGCGCCACAGGGCCGAGCGCCACAACTCACGATTGCCTATCACCTGAATTACGGGCGCGCATCGGGTAGCGAGGCCCGCGTCGCTCAGTAGCGCATGAAAAAATCCGGGCCCAGCGCCACAGGGCCTAATCCACCTGAGGTTAGGTTAGGTTAGGTTAGGTTATGTTAGGTTAGGTTAGGTTAGGTTAGGTTAAGTTAGGTTAGGTTAGGTTAGGTTAGGTTAGGTTGGGTTAGGTCAGGTCCGATGCGACGCGACGTGGGCCTCGCTAACAATATGTTGAATTGTGGCTGTCTAAATTTACCTAATCTAATATGCTTCGCCTAGAAGATTACCCTCAGTATTCATGAGTCAACTCAAATCTATCTCACTAATCTGTGGCTAAATGCAACAATTTTTGTTGCGTGGCGCCACGCAACAAAATTTGTTGCATTTAGCCACACTCATTTTGAATGTTTCATTTAGCCACACAGCACCTATAACTTGTGGCTAAACGCAACAATTTTTGTTGCGTGGCGCCACGAGCCGTGGCTAAATGAAATGTAATCGCTCAAAAAACATATAGTTCCAAGGTATAAGCCGTTAAACATTTTAATCTGCTGTGCACAAGGCACGTGTACGCAATCGCTGCAGTGCATCTTTTTTCGGTTTGAACTTTTGACTCCGTGCATTTCTATTAACTCTGTTTCTGGGTCAGTTGAGCTTGACACAAAACCGTGTTTCGATCATGAGGACAACAGGGATATGGAAGGATCCTATTGGTGGAAGCGTATGGTTGCAATGGACAAGGGGGATGGATAATAGACTAACTAACGGCAACCCACGAGACAACCTACAGTTAGTCCATAGTTTTCTCCTCTAGTCTATAGGAACCACCCATTGCAACCAATAGGATAGCTCCATACTTCCTATGTCTTCTTTGTCTAACGCTTTGTCCATCAATTTCAATAATGAGCCCGCTGGCTACAACTCTAATCCGATGTTATCTCTTGGCCGGCAGACGAACGAGGACGAAGTGCCGGACGACGGTAAGGGGAGCGACGAGGACTTCGAGGAGGTGCGGAATTCCTCTCGACATTTCAAGAAGACGAAGGACCAGGAGCTGGTGGAGTGGCTGTCCAATGGGAGGAAGATCGGGCAGGAGGTGCGCTACGAGGCCGAGACGGTGGAGGGCGACCGGCACGGGGACCCGGCCAGTCTGGAGATGGAGCAGCGCGAGTGGGACAGCCTCTCCGCACGCATCCGCAAGCTCCGCAAGAAGAAGCCCCTCCAGACGGCCCCCGCCGCCACCCCCGCAATCGTCAAGAAGCCCCTCGATTTCGAAATCGAGGAGGAGACGCGCAAGGTAAGGGTCGCCTCCTCTTATGATGTCAGGATTCCAAGGGTCGCGGGAAATCCGGAGGTTTAGCGAAATTCCGGAAAGGACAATACTGCCGTGTTAAGGAAGAACTCCGTATGAGCCTCCAGGCGTTGCCATATCTCACTCAACAACAAACCAATTCACTGGGAAATTTTTAAACATTTTTCTTCGAATTTTGCACACCATTTTATTCGCAATTTAATCTAATATATCGGACAATTTCGAGGAAAAATATGCATAACTTTCCCCAAAAATAGACGTTTTATCAGGGGGAACTTGGCAACTCTCGAAAGTTCATACGACGTTCTTCCTTAGCACAGAAAAATAGAGGCATGAGTGTGACAGGATCTATGAAAAGGGACCTCAGTTTACATTAAACTGAGGCCAAAACTAGGGGAAAACATCGGAATTGGTGCTTTCGAGTTCTTAACGAGGAACCTTTCCATAAGCCTTCGGAACAAGTTACCTACGCGTGGTTTCATGCAGTTTATTTTCCACACCACAGAGGGTGCGAGCTGCTTCTTTCCTGCGTGCGTGTCAAAATTCTTAACCCAAAGATTTGAAAGTGTAACCTAAAACATGAGAATGTTCATCCTGGAACCTCAGGACGTCATCCCTCTTTTTTTTGCGTTTTCAGGGTCAAACTTGCTTCAAAATTTTTAGACTTTTTTACTCTATAGGATAGTATCAATAACCCAAATTTGAATTTTTGGAAGATAAAGTCTCTTTTCACAGATCTGGTCACAAATCTTTGTGCTATACAAAGATGAAAGCTCTACATATACTCAAAGTCTCGGTCTCGCAATAACAGCGTAGCGACGGCTCGTTTTCATTTTTAATTTATTTTCCGGTTGAAAATGAAATCGTAGCCATTTTGAAACGTTCCAGGTTTTGTTTATCCTTTGTTCCTTTTTTGCAGCCTTTTCCTCAAATTAAGTTGTTCTTTTATTATGTGTATTTTGGCTGATTAAGTTGTTTTTCATTCATATACTCAAATCTGTCCGCACACCTTCAGATTAATGAACCAATCAATGTCATTCCCAACTTGAGCTGCTACATTACAAGGGTAGATCACTAAAACAGACTTCTCTGTGATTCAAGGTGGAGACGTCCCGGTGGCTGGAGAATCACTTCGGGAGCGAGTCGCGTTCCTCGAAAGACTCGTTGGCCGACGACGACGAAGAAGAAGGGAAGGACGTGAAGAGGACGAGTTCGAGCTTCATCAACGTCACGATGAAGTCAGCGTCAACGCCCTCCCGCCCGGGGCCGGCCAAGTTCGGCTCGGCCGAGAACATCCTCTCCTCCCGGCTCCAACCCCCGCCGCCCCGGGAGAAGGACTACGAACAACCCCAGAGCAACGGATACTTCAGGGGCGTCTCCGAGTGGAAAACACGCACCCCCACCCCCACCCAACATAACCAGGAGAGGTGAGTCCATGTTTTCGTAGTCGTTCCTTAATCAGCTCCTTAGGTTCCAGTAGAGTCCCTTTATACTAAGAGTCAAGACAACACCCCCTCGTGGAGTCACAAACGGGCAGGCCCGCCACATCCCATCTCGGGCCCTGGTACCAATTTTCCGGCCCGGGCCCCTAGCACAGGGGGGGGGGGGGCCCTCCCCCGGGAAATTTTTGAAATTTTAAATCTATTTGGACGCATTATGAAGCTCTTATGATGGAGATTTTCCATCAATTTCTGCAGAATAATTACGCCTTTTTGTTTACTTTCAGCACCAAAAACTTTCGAATTGTTGCATTCAAAACATCTATAAATTGTTTTTTTGAGGGGGCAGATGATAGTTTTCAATTCTATGGGGAGCCGGGCCCCCCTGGACTCCCCTTTCGTACGTCTATGGCAAGGGAGTTAAGCCATTGAAGTCGAGGATGCCCAGAAAGGAGCCTCTCAGCATCCGACAACGGAAGAAAATGAAACACAGTTTCTAAAAATATCATTCTACATATACTCAAAATCTTGAAAATCTCTAAAAAAGTAAGAAAAATTTTATAGTCCCCTAGCGTATTTTTTAAACTTTATTCACCTTTTGCGGAATTTTTAGGGTAATTTTTTCACTTTCCCTTACGAGACAAGGGTTACACATGAATTCGTAGAGGTTTGTCACCTGCGCCACGGGCCCCTCCAGGGCCCGGGCCCCGGTACCAGGGACCCAGTATCCCCCCCTTGTGGCGGGCCTGCAAACGGGAATAAAGATTACAGAAATCGAACGTTTTTCGGAATCTTTGATCGGCCCATTCTCAAATTCCTTTCCCCGTTCCTTCTCTCATTCCGTTTGTTCCTTGCCGAACCCATAATTCCCTGGTCCATTCCAGATTATAATCTTTGCAATCGGTGAAAATGTAATCTTTATTCCCGTTTGTGACACTGTGAAGACCTAAAATACGGGAACCAATCAGAAATGGATTCACATTGTCTTGACTCTCAGTATAAAGGGACTCTAGGTGAGTCCATGTTTTCGTAGTCGTTCCTTAATCAGCTCCTTAGGTTTCAGGACATTTTGACAACGATTTTTTGCCCGCGCACCTTTTTTGTCCAGTAGTTTACGCCCACACGTAAAGTAAGCAACAGTGACTTGGTCCAAGCGTTATATTTTAGTCGGTATGTAATATTATATTGACAATATGGAAATGAGAAATTGAGAGAGAAAGAGGTGTTGTTATGGTTGCTCATTTTCTAAATGAAATGTTATTACTTTCTCCTTTTGAATCATCTTTTTAGATTGTCATTCGTGAATATTTGGTTTTATTTCCATCCTTAAAATATTCGATGTACAATACATTTATATTTTTAAAACATGGCAAATATTTGTAAAACCTTTTCCAAGCGACATGAATCTCAATGAGCCGAAGTTGTGCCAACAGAAACTGTAAAAATGAATAAAAGAGGGAAAAAAACCAAGAAGCACGCAATCTTTAACCCATTTGCACATCGATCTTTTAGAGTCAAATACGTCAAATTGTGAGCGTTTGGTTGCGCGTACACCTCGCTGCAGCACAATAAAAGCACAAAATGTAAAAGAAAAAATTAAAGTGCCCTGGAAATCATTAAATTTGACACGGAACCACCAATATTTAAAAAGCACACATTATATTATTATTCTCCTTTGATAAATTGATACATATTTTTTCCCCATCGATTTTAAATTAGAATAATCAATGCAGAGTGTGCAAACAATTCAAAATCATGAGTTAAAAACGCTGACTATGCAAGTATAAATACCTATTAAAGCCGAACAGAGTAGAGCGGCGTGCTGCCAGCGCGAGAGGCTCACTGGCGCCTACAAACCTAAGTGGATACTTCACGCGTTGCACAATGCTTGAAGTATCCACTTAGGTTTGTAGGCGCCAATGTGCGCTTCGCGCTAGCCGCCCATCCGCCGTGCGGCGGCGCCTGAAGCAACTATTTCACAACAGAGGTGTTGCACAGTATTATAAGAAATTGAACGTTTTAAGAATGACAGGCATCCTTAAAAAGTACAGATCTTTCCTCTCAAAATAAAGCAGGATACTAATCGTACACAGGAAAAATCTAAGAGCCTTTAGCTGAGGCAATTATAGAGGTTCATCCGGTTCAGGTATAACAAGATGGGAATTTCTTGAAAGATTCTGCAAAAATGATCACGTTGGTTGGTGAAAATTGGTCGAATTAGTCAAATTGCTCAACAGAGACCAACATGGGCTGAGAACAAGTAGGTACCATGTTGATACCATGTCGGCGTCAGCGTGATATTATGGTAACATACATACATATGAGTCGCTTTTATAGCGCTCTTTGGCGCTTTACGACGCCTAATCGCCACAAAGCTCGGTCTTCCCACAGGTCATCAGGGAGTTGACACTCCCTCATCTCACTCAACACCCCCTGTCGCCAACCTCTCACTGGGCGTCCCCTACGTCTCCTCCCAGGAGGAACCCAATCAAGCATCTTTTTTGGCAGCCTCTCTTCCGTCATCCTATTGACATGACCGTACCAAACAAGTTTTTTGGTCATGACGTCGAACACGATGTCATTTTCGACTTCCATTATCTGACGCACTCTATCATTACGGACCCGATCTCTCCTAGAAATTCCTGCCGACCTTCTCCAGAAATCCATCTCCGTTGCTCTTAGCATATCCTCTGTCCGTTTCTTCAGCTGCCAAACTTCACATCCGTATGTTAATATACTTTTGACTACAGCGTTGTATATTTATGGTAACAACATGATCTTAATACTGTGTCTTCTCTGAGCAGGTACCAGTCGAGCTCTCACTATTCCCGGCAGTACAACCGCCCGGCGATCGAGCGGGCCCAGTCGTTCACGTACAGCCCTGCCAGCCCGGAGCCGACGTCCCTGTCGGAGTCGCACGGGAACAGCGGGACGTCGGGACGGGTGACCCGGGAGCGCTACTCGTACTCGCGGCGACACGCAGAGCGAAACGCCGCCTCCTCCAAGAGCGAGCTGGACTCCCTCCCGCTTTACTCCACCGTCCAGAAGCGGCTCGCCTCCACCGACGACGAGAGGGCCCCCGAGCCCCACCGCACCCTCGCCCCCAACCCCGCACCACCGACACCCTCACCCTCGCCATCGCCGTCACCACCCCACGTCAACCGGAAACAGGTCAGTCACACCCTGGAAGAAAGCCCGAGCGTGAAGCTGTCAGTGCTCCCATTTCCCGAAACTAGTTCCAAATTCCGGAACTTTTGAGATTTTCCTGAATTTTTCCCGGAACTTTTAAAATTCCCGAAAATGTTTGCATTTTCTGGAACTTTCTCGGAACTTTTGAAAAAATCTAAAACGTATCACGGAACTTTTGACGGTCATGGAGTGGGAGAAATTGGAACAAAAAAGTTCCGAATCCCGGAACTTTTGACTGTCATGGAGTGGGAGAAATTGGAACAAAAAAGTTCCGAATCCCGGAACTTTTGACAGAAATGGAATGGAAGCACTGGAAGCAGTCAAATGAAGCACTACACAGGGTCATAGAGGACATGGATTCGACGAACATGAATCGATCGAAAGATAAAAACGTGAATCGACCGACGTAATTCGATCGACATCGATTCGATCAACAACCATAAATCGATCGAAAAATCCATGAAGCCATGGAAAGCCCCGTAAATCGATCGACAGTACTATGATTCGATCAAATAGAATAAGTGTTCATCACAGAGCTGTCGATCGGTTTCCGTTTTTACTTTTCGATCGTTCATGTCGATCTGATCGACATCTGTTTTTCCAAAATGTGTCGATCTATTGGTGCCTGTTGAAACTTTATCGATCATTTCATGCCTTCATTTTTAAATCGATTCATATCGACCGAATCCAAACCTTCAAGAAATTTGAGATTTTAGATTTAACTTTTGATGTACCTTCATGACCTGAATGAAAAACTATAGCAGTAATTGTAAAAGAGTATCACTATCCTGTTCGTCTGAATACAAAATTAAAGATTCGGGTTAATTTTTGTAAATAGCTTGCTGCCCCGGAGCCCGTCAGAATACCGATTTATCCATCAAATATAATGTGATGTTTGATGTCACGAAGTTCAATCATGTGGCAGGTTTCAGTAATTTCAGCGGACGTAAGGATTTAGAATTTCCTTTTAGAAACCCAGAAAAATTTATTATTCTTTTGGAGTCCAAAAAAGGGGTACTTTCCTTTAACTTATCATTTGATCTAAGATCTAAAGTCCGTAAGATGTAGCTAAGTTTGGAATATATACTAAAAGAAAAAGCACCTGCCACGTCGACGCATCTAAACGTGCACCGCAGTAAACGTTTGGTATCGCGCCCGAAATGAAGGCACTTTTTGGCGCTTGTTCTAATCCATTTTTTTTTTTTTTTTAAATACAAGGCTCTGAGTTTAAGTGATCCTGACTTTCGCTCGAAGATTTCGGCTCAAGCTTTTAGATTTATTAGCTTTTTCTGACCTGTTGGTGGTGGTGCCATTAGCCTCCGCTTTTTAGTTATTTATTCTGAAGGTTTTTTCAAAAATAATCAGTCGGGGTAACATAAAATCTGATTACTTTAAATATGGGCGATGAAACTCCTAGACCACGTACCTTATTTTAAGACATTGCAAACTTCCTGCCATACTTAATTTTTTACCTGGAAAACGACGAACGTCAAGTCTTTGTCTATAAAAACTTCGAGGAATGATGTTGATTTTTTCCTTGGGAGAGGATATTTTAAAACGCTGCAGACGAGATACTTGGTTAAGGGATTTCATCGTCGGTAGGCATGACACTCTTAGAACTCACAGTCTAAATCTTGAGGCGAAAACATTAGCTCCGATGTCTCGTATTGTTCCCCAAATCATACACTCTTCAGTGTTATAGGTTTAGGAGGGAAATGAGGAGCCGGAGTGTACATTGTTAAGAAAAACCGAATAATGCGAAACGTTTCCCGCACTGGAAAAGGTTCTAGACCACATTGATATCACTACCCTCTCTACTCTTAAATATCGGCTGAGCATTTCATTTTCCATAGTTTTTACCGGTAAAAAGTTGAGGTGAGCAGTGGCGTGAACGATCTATTATCAATATTTTCCCATTTGTATACCTATGGTAAAGAATCTATTCGTGAGGTGTTCGTTGCGAACACCCTGTTTATCAATACTTTTCTATAGATTTTTATGGTAGATCAATCGATTTATCTGGAAGCAAGCCTCGCTACCAGGAATGAGCTTTATTCGAAATGACCAATATCCCAATTTTTTTAATGAAAAATGTCCGGAACGTCCTGTACATCAGCATCCACAAGAGGCACAGCACCTTTAGCATCGTATGATTAGAGAAGATATTTTATTAATCCTCGGGTAAAATAAAAAGCGTTAAAAAAGTTACGACATTTTATTTTAACATGACATCTCATCTTAATTAGAAACCCTCAGAGTACATGACTGTGATACTTGCACCATTTAACTATGAATATTTAAATCCATAGAAACAAACCCCAGGGTCAGAGTGCAATTTATATAACAGCTTGTGCAAAGTGTCCATCCACCAGTGAAAGTCATCTACATTTGAACCGAGAATCTCTATTTTAAACGGACTCAATCAGGACAAGCGAGGAAAAGCGCCTTCATTTCGGACGTGATACCAAAAGCTTACTGCAGAGCACGTGTAGATGCGTTGACCTCGCAGGCGCTTTTTCTTTCAATCTACTCCGTGCTCAGCAGCAGTTAATAGCCTGCTTGTTCACTTTCTTCTCTTACGCTCTTTTAAAGGTTTCATTAATTGCTACGATCTCAACCTTTGAGATTATTTTTGGTGAACGTTGCTTACGTGCTAACGTGCTTACGTGGTTTTTTTTCCAAGAAAAGAGAATCCGACACAGACGATAAGCCTTTTTTACTCTGGGTTTATTTTATAAACTTCCCATGGGAGTTTATACGGGACTTAAAATAAATACAGCGTCAACATTGAAATTGTACAAAAAAAGTCGGCTGAGTTGTAATGTCTTGCTCTTGCAAGAAGTATAGTATCGGGAATTGAATGTGAGAATCGAAACACACTAATAAAAGTTTTGCATTATAATACAGCCAAAGAATTTTATGTTCTCTCGGAGATTATCGAATTTGAAATTAAATATATGGATCAAAATGGAGCAAAGTCATTTTTACATCGAAATAGGATCATCGGCCGTGTTGTCTATACTCTAGACTCTCTATCGTGGCTTCAAAGCTTTCAGGCCACCCAACCATGCAAGTACATTCTCCCCGTCATTTAGCTGATACCAGAGATAGCTTGCCGCAAGTTTTGGTTAATCCTCATCTAATGAATTTGATATCAAGATATTACCAAAAAACCTACATCACGTGTCAGACGCACACAAAGATCAGCTGAACGATGGAGCTGTTCTTACGTTTGATCACCTAAAATCTTCATAAAAGTTCATAAAATAGGGAATGCTAAATTTCGGATTTTTTATTCCCCCCCCCCTCATCCCTCACAACGCGTAGATCCATATACTTTAACAAGAAAAAACAAAATATCCTAACGCTTTCCTCAACCCCCTTTTAGCGTTACGTATTTTATGAAGGATCCCTGATAGGGCGTCCACAAATCCCACAGCTTGAAAAATGTAATAATGTATGTTCATATTTTATTTTGGCAGCGGGCTGACGTGTACACGAACGGCGAGTCCAGATCCTCCCACCAGACGCGGGAACACTCGTACCGCTCCTGGGACCGGCGCCAGAAGTCAACGCCGCGCTACGACCCGGACACCCCGCCAGAAGACGAACCCCTGCCGGACTACTCGCCCAAGTCCGGGCACAAAGTCCGCTCCCCAGGGCCGGCCTCGGCCTCGCCCACCCCGTCCGCTCTGCGCCCAGAGACCCCGTCGGACGCCCGGCGGAAGCACCAGAAGACGCGCTTCGACATTCCGCCCCAACATGCGCCGCCCCCGCCACCGGAACCGGAGAAGACGGACCGGAAGTCGTCGATCGGGGAGTCCTTCCGCAAGATCATCGGGAAGTTCCGATCGGCGAGCAAGGAGAAGAAGCGCAAGGACTCCTTCTTGGGGAAGCTCCGCGGGGAGGGGGACAAGAAGGGCGCCTACGTGACGAGCGAGGTCATCGACGACCTCCCGGTGGCGCCCCCGCGGCCCGGGCGCGTGGCTCGCCAGTCGAGCCGCGCCGCCGCCGACTACCGCCGCGGGAGCCGAGAGAGTCGCGAGATGGACAGCGGAGCGGACACCCCGACCGGAGCCCCGGTCGTCAACCGCTACTACCTCGGCGAGGACCCCTTCAACGGCAGCATCTACGGCAAGGAAAGGGAGTACGACGGCGTCACTCCGCACAGGAGCAGGTCGCGCTCCGGGCAGTCGCACCAACACTACAGGTCAGTTCTCCGAAATTTGAATTTTTCATCTACTTCTACACTGGAAAAAAAACCACATTGGATCTAGAGTCCAGACTCTTGAAAACATCGACAAGATAAAGTACTCTTGATTCAATCGGATTTTTGCTTAAATCAAGAACCAAGCCTCTTACTTTGAGCGGATTTCCTTTTGATTCAAGCTTAAATCTGATTGAATCAAGAGTATTTTTTCTTGTCAATATTTTCAAGGGTCTAGATCCAATGTGTTTTTTTTTCCAGTGCGTGTCAATCTTTTAGCTTTAAGAGCCATTAAACGGGTAATTTGCTCTGGTAACCGAATCGTGTTTTGATGCTTGACTCTTGCAGATTAGCTAAAAATAACAAGATTTGTCCAAACGGCAACTTTCTACGTTGAATATTAACCGAGATATCGCCCTTTTGAAAAGTCTGGTTTTTGACGTCATCCACGGTTGTGCAGATACGTACTACAGCGGTGGATGACGTCATAAATCAAGTTTTTCAAGGCGCGACATCACGGATAATATTCAACGTAGGAAGTTGATGTTTGGGCAAATCTTATTTTTGAGCTAATCTACAAGAATCAAGCATCAAAACACGATTCTGTGACTAGCGCAACTGACCCATAATCACTAACAATTTTAGGAAAATCGAGCCCTTTGCATTTTCGACGCACCCAGTATTTACTTTGTAATGTACATTGTAAGAATGAGTAACTGACATTTTGTGTTCATGCGGGAAGTAGACCACAAAGTAACTTAAACGAGGGGTTAATATGTTTTGGTTGGTTTTTCTTTGGATTACTTTGACGAAATCTTTGGGTTGAAAATTTTCCAATTTCGTCAAAAATCAGACGCAAGCCCCCAGATTGGACCTGGATTGGATTGGTTATATTCCAATGAGCCGGCCACTGAGCCAAGCTCTGAGTGAAAATGAGAGAAATAAGAACACTCATCCCTAAATATTTCAGAGTCACCTACGGTTTCGGTCGGTTTAACCAAAAATTCGGTCGATTAACCAAGTCCTTTGGGTTTATATCTGACCGTAAAAAAGGTAACTCAAAGTAACCATAAGCATGGAAATTTCTAACCGCGATTAAAAACATAATCGTTGTAATTCCTAACGCTGGGCTCAAAATACAAGGTTATCAAAGCCGCAAAATTCGTTGCCAGCAACGAAGCTGTCTCATGGTTTCCCGCAACGTCTAAAATCGGTAAAAATGTAGTTCCAGCTCTTTGGCTCTATAAACAAAGAATATAAGATATGCCCTTGTGAAAGAAGGAACTACACAATATGAAGTGAATGTTCAATTGGGCCATTCCGTGTTCTTCTAGACGAAGAATTACGTTTAAACGTCGCGAAATGTCCACTTTGCAGATTTGCCAGGAAATTATTTTGCCCCTTCTCACTGAGAATTTCACTTTTTTCCCTGATCGTTCGAAAATGGAAGCACAATTTCGGGCGAGAATATCACGGTTCGTCAAAAAAATATGAATTTAAAATGAAATAATATCAAGCAAAATAATTTTCCGAATTGTTTAAACTCAAGATTTAGAGAACTTAAGTTACGCAACTTCTCTTTAACTTTTCAATAACAAGAGGGAGAAAGCTCGTCCCTTTATTTCCTTAAATTCAAACATTCTGAGAAGAATCAGAGGTGAGAAGAGAAAATATACGTGAAAGTATGCAGGCGTTTGCATAAGGAAAAAGGACCGTTGATAATTTTTGTAAAAAAAAGAAGAGGAGAAAAATAATGTAACTCACTCACATTTTTTTCGGATGTGATTTCTGATCGTTTCATGATTGTAAAGTGAAATTTTCAAAATTTTGGATACATACTAACAGTTACCCTTTAAACATAGATGGCCTAAGTGCTAAACCACGTATCTACGTTTGCGATGTTGCAGACTTACTGCCATTCTTTATTTTTTCTTTGAAAAACTAGTCCACATGATTTCTTGGAAGCTTCCCTGAGTTTTTTTTTTTTCGATATTAGCAGAATACTCTGTAAACCGAAAAATCTAGGGTTTCCTCTGAAATATAGATGCAGTTTTTTTAACTCACAGACTGATTTAGTGCCTTTATTAAAAAGCGCGGCAAAACGATCGATATTAAACAGTTCATTCGTTCTGGTTGAAATCATATCGAATGTATCGAACATCGAATGACGCAGTCACTAAATCAGAATATTACCAATAGCAAAATAAGCAAACTCGACCGTATGATAGGACATAGATTCAAATAAAACGCAGTGGCAGTTTCTCCTGTTGTTTTAGTTGTCTCTGCAAATGAGATTTTATTAAGGCCATACCAAATCTGGATGTGCGCAGGTTGACTGAATTCAGGTGTAGAGCCCACGCCGTTTGCGGTTCCCTCAGAACCAGTGATGCCACTTAGCTCACATCGAATCGATTACTGAAACATTTCGTTGCCGAAAAGCTAGAATTCCATGGGAAAAATTGTAGGTACCTTGGGACAAATGCAGGGATGAATGGTTAAATTAAGCATTCCGATTGAGGAAGTGTTGCAATTATAAACTACATATTTGTAATTTTAAACCGGAATTTCAGAGTTACATGTGTATTTCAAAATATTTATTTGATTTAAATCTGTATCTGAATACCTGACTCCCAAAGGTTTTTAGAAAATACATGAAAATGTAAGAATTATTGATTGAAAATTCATCATAACGATTGAACGGAACAGTTTGCCTTCAATTAAATCGTTTTGAGAACGCGATGTAGATACAGTTCAAACAATATTCATACAATTGTTAGGAGACTTAAACGAGTGGATAGGAAAAAAAGGATCATGTTTCATCGCTGCGTTTTTGTTCCAACAGTTTCTGAATACTTTCTCTTATTCTTCCCCATTGATGAATTAAATAAGATCAATAGGTGAGCCTCGCATGACGCAAAACTCTGCGTTATCAGGACGCTCCAAGGAGGTTCAAAAATGGAGAGACAGCAGTTCTTAACCCCTCACTTTTATTTTAAAAATATACGCACTTTGCACGGTGGTTACAATACTTTTATTTCGTGGTTACAGCGGCTCTTGCGTTACAGAACTAGTACAAA